TGCATAAAGAAAAAAATGAACTTGTGATTTATGGTTTTGATGATTAGACAGGATAGATTATAGAAAGAAGAGAGTCATGATGTAGCTTGAGAGAGAGAGAGGTTAAAATATAATTGTACCTATAACTGCTTTGAAGATCAGAAGCCACTTCTTTTTATCTTTCTTTATACTTCATTCTATTTTAATTTGTATTCTTACTATTGATGTATTTGATTTGAGAAGAGACAATATCTACATTTATTGGTACCTGGAAATCCCTTATGGACTTTTTGCATAAAGAAAAAAATGAACTTGTGATTTATGGTTTTGATGATTAGACAGGATAGATTATAGAAAGAAGAGAGTCATGATGTAGCTTGAGAGAGAGAGAGGTTAAAATATAATTGTACCTATAACTGCTTTGAAGATCAGAAGCCACTTCTTTTTATCTTTCTTTATATCTTTTTTTCTTTTTCTCTACTTTTCTTCTACTTTTTTTCTTTTTGCATCTTTAGCTTTTTCTTTTATTTCTTTCCTTCTCTTTCTTCTTCATTCTATTTTAATTTGTATTCTTACTATTGTTAAAACTTTCAATAAAAATTATATACACACACACACACACACACTGTGTGTGTGTGTGTATAAAAAGAATATTTTGCTGAAGAAGAAAGAAGAGAGTGCAAAAGGAGATCTGGTGTTCAATGCTGAAACAAAACCAAACGTAAGAGTATGTCAACAGACAACACCAACCCAATACAACTAGGTAGAAGTTGAACTAGTAACAGACATTATTTTCCTAGGCTCAAAAATCCACAGGGATGGTGACTGAAGCCATGAAATAAAGAGATGTGGGTTATTTGGGAGAAAGTTTGGACAAAATAATTGCGCAAATGCAGCAGCCCCCTTGGTGGTGAGAGAGCTGTAGTTGCAACGGATGGAGTTGGTTGCCAATCAGTTTCCACCTAAAATATAAAGTGCTGGTTATAATTCATAAAGCTCTTTATGGGCAGGCCCTGGTTTACTATATAACTGTCTTCTCCTAACCAACTCTGCTCATATTGTGTTATTGACCTCAGAAAGAATGCTCAGATCCCTTTGGAGGTTGGGGCTACAGGAGCCCAGAAGAGGGCCTTTTGGGTGGGAACCCTGGAGCTTGGTCCATGTGAGGCTAAGAAGGCCCCCACATTGCTTGCTTTGAGGAAGACAGCCAAGACAGTTCTTTTCTGCCATGTGTTTAAGGTCTAAAGCAGTGTTCCTCAACCTTGGCAGCTTGAAGACGTGTGGACTCTAACTCTGAGAATTCCCCAGCCAGCATGGCTGGCTGGGGAATTCTGGAAGTTGAAGTCCACACGTCTTCAAGTTGCCAAAGTTGAGGAACACTGGTCTAAAGTGTTGTTTTGCTGGGCTGTTGATATTTTAGTGTAATTTAAAGTTAATGTCGTTTTATGACTTTTAGTGTTAGTTTACTTTCATTATCTTTAATTGATATCGCTTGGTGGCTGTCTTAAGAGATTGTGTTATTATGTTGCTTAAGATGCCAACTTCCCAGAGTCTTTGGATAAGGATGGGTAGAAATGTGCTGCTGGTGGTGATGGTGGTTGGGAGGAAGGAATGCCCGTTTTTTTGCCAGGGACTGCAGAATCAGCTTCTTTAAATGATACAAAAGTCACATTAGCTGGGTTCTACTGTTTATTTTGTAAAAACCGCTCTGAATAGCAGCTTCTTTTTCAAACTTCTTGCAGAGCTCTCAAGCCTTTCCCCTGGCAAGCTTGTTTACAGGGAAACTTTGCCCCAACTGCTACTCCCAAACAGACAATCTGATATTGGTGCAGTTGCCCGGAAGACTATAGCATACCCTTCAAGGGAAGACTGTGGATGAGCCCCAAAGGGCCAATAGCACCCCCCAATCCTTTAATTCTAATACCCCCATTCACTCTGTCTGTTTGCAGGCTGCAAAGGGCCACGCAGCAGCTTAGCACCTCAGACTGTGCGGAAGTTACTGGAGCAAAGACGACAACACCAAGCTGCTCTGAGCCATAACGCTGGACCCCTGGTGAGTCCTCTGCTGAATATAGCTGGACACCCCTATACATGCATATAGCTGCACACTTCTCTGGAGTACAGCTCAGCTCTAGGTTCTTTGTGGAATCCCTGGACCGTTTGGGGCAGAGTTCTTCTTGGCCCTCAGATGCATTTGAATAGAGATGGTTCATCCAACCTCTTACTGCCTTTCCCAGATTCATTACTTTCTCTCTTTTTCGCTTTCTTCTCCCATTTCAGATCCCTTCAGGAGCTTTAGAAGCCAACTGGCCAGGTGAGTGGATTCAGACAACTGGGAATGTAATTGCTTTACCTCTGTCACAAATGGTCTTTTGAATTTAGCTTTCCATCAGCTTTTCTAAACATGGTACCCTCCAGCTGGTATCTTACAATTCCAGCAATTCCAACAGAGTAGAGATTTTCCAATGCATCTGGTGGTTAACAGATTACGGAAAGCATTTGAGTTATTTAAGGCTCCCCATTTAAATTGCAGCAAGAATAATATATTTTGATCTAGGTCACTTAATAAATTTCCATGCAGTTTCAAATTTAATTCCTATCTATCTATCTATCTATCTATCTATCTATCTATCTATCTATCTATCTATCTATCATCTATCTTATCAAATTTCTGGTCCTTGCTGTTACAAAACTGTTACTCAGTGCTCAAAATTGCATTGCCACTGCCTTCCACTGCTAAGGAAATAGGATCTTGGAGAGCTCCAAGTAAATCTTGTTGGCTTCTTCTCCTTTTAGGACAATAAGGCAGACATTGTTGCAGCAAGTCTTGCTGAACCTGGATGCCTTCCAGCTTGGGTGCCCTCCAACTACCAGAATTTTCAGTAATGCTCATGCTGACTGGGGAACTCTGGGAGTTGCAGCCCACACATCTGGAATGGAAGATGTTCAGATCAAGCACGTAGCTCTGCCCTCTTAAGAAGAGCTGGTTCGACTGTTAAGGTCCCTTGGCAGATGTAACTTCTAGCAGAGATGGATGTTTTGTTGAGGGGGATTTTTCAGTTTGGAGGACAATAACAAGACTGTCTCTGGTGGCTGCCAGAGTTCTGAATACTAAACTGACTATCTTTTATTGGAGAAAGCAATCTGAGTCTCATGTTTGTGAATGCTCCACTGTCCATCAAAAATACTAAGGTCATAAATTTAAGTTAGGCCTGAGTATAGTGATCTGGGCATTTTCTGCTTCTCCAAACAAAGAAATCAACATTGTACATTGATTGGAACAACTGATCTGAACTACTTTTGCCATTACTTTCCTGAATCTCTCTTCTTAGAGCCGCATGGAACAATAGAAAAAGGGGGATCTACTCCAGGACAGACAACTCCTCAGTATCCAGTTACTGCCTTTCCTGCCTGGCCACCAGATGCCTCAAACCAAGGAGCTTTCTCTCCAGATTTTCACTACCAGTGTGTGAACACTGCCAACGATTACCACCTCCAGCCTCAGGGGAGCCAATATGATGTGATCAGCCCCTGTGCTCCCCTGGAAACCAATATTTATGGAGCATCAGGTCCTGGAGGTCCCGAGGAAGTGTATGCTTCCAAGATAACATCAGCAGTAAATTATGAGGTGAGATTAGGAGATGGAAGTGGGATGGAATGAGCTTCCTGGGGTATCCAGGAATAGATCGATACTACTGTCTCAAACCGGCTGTTAAAAACCACTTGTTTCTCAAATGAGAATCCTGAGAATTGTGGGCATATGTGATCTCTTCAAAGCATGCCAGGAACCTCTCCAAACTACAATTCACATGTTTCTTTGGAAAGGGCAATGAGAAAGCAGTATGTTATATTTTTTAAGAACGCCCAGATGTATTTGCAAAGTAGATAAGTCTGGGCTCACCTTTCCTAACCAGGTGCTGTCCAGATGGGCTAAACTATGTAGGAGAAAATATGGTGCCGGTTTGGACAAGTAGAACTGAGCAAAACATTCCCCCCTTCCCTAATTACCCTCCCGGGAACTTGAGAAAAAAATAAACCCTGTTGAATCAGTCATAAAATATTTAGAAGGCCAAGGGAGGCTGATAAAACCAGAAGATACTGGAAGCAGGCATAAGGCCAGTTTAAGATAAGACCCACAACTGTAACTCTCTAAAAAGTAACTGTGTTCATGGAATGCCCTTTTCATTCTCTCAATGTACCACTGTTTTTGTGGCTCCACCCCACGTTGGACCTCAGTGACACAAAAGATGCTCCTATCACTAGTCAAATCCCAATCATATCTGATCAGTTACTTTGCTGTACCCAAACAGAAGGATATTCTGACCTGCATAACTTCACGGAATAGTTGCATCCTCACCCACTTTAACCTCAGCCCCTTTCAGTACCATAATAAACCATTTGTGCTTCAGTGAAAGAATGGGCCTAACTCTCATTACTGAAGAACTCTTTGGAGAAATTTCTCCTACCGCTAGCATGCTTGTTTCTTACAATGAGTGAGAATGATGGGAGATTTTACTTGCATTGATGAAGCAGCATGGAGCTGTTCTGGGTAGGCTTGTGTTGAGTATCTCCATAACTTTGGGCCATCGTTTTGTGAAGATGGAATGGTTAGCAGGGATGCTGGGCAGAGGCAGAGAAGGGAGATTCCATCTTTAGATCAGCTGCACAGCAATACCTGTCTATCTTTTTTAATTTCCACCCAGAAGGCTGCCACTGAAGCTCAAGCTGTCCACCTTTATCCGAGCTCTGAGAACCCCTGGCTGGAACAGGAACAAAATAATGCTTGTCTCCTCCTTCCTGGGAATTATCCAGACTTATCTGTGGATGTAGATCCAGGGGAATTGTCTCAAGCTCGGGCACAGATCCAGAATATAGAGCTATCTCACCTTTTACAGCAGGACGAAGATGGCGACATGTAAGTGTACAACTGGAGCACCATCCCACTGAACAAGTCATTCTGTTTTCTTGTTTTGAAGGATGACAGTAGGAAAAGATGAGGAAAGGAAAGGTTTTGGAAAGCATATAAGAAGCAGACTATGTAGGGACAAACTGGGAAATGAACTGGAACCTGTTGCCAACCTGGTGCCCTCCAGATGTGTGAGGATGGCAATTTCCAGCTTGGAAAGCCAAAGACTATACTGGCTAGAAATGCTAAGTGTTATAGTTACCTCACATCTGGAAGGCATCACAGTGGGGAAAAAGGCCTGACTGCAGCATAGAACAGGATTAAACAGTGGCAGCTCTGACATTTTCTTGCCACTTAGAGTGAATCAGATAGGAAAAAGGATGGCAGTTGGGTGGTCAGTAAAGTATTGCCAAAAAACAAAGGAAGCCAGGAGACTTACAGTATGCATTTCTATATGTTAAATCTTTGTGGATGTCTTTGTGATAATTCCTTCACACACATATGCATATCTCTGTGCTAATCTCTAATAATGCATCATCATATCCCTCATATTATTTCATTTCAAGCAAGCAATTTTTTTTTAATCCATTCAATCGTGTCCCATTCTCAGAGACTGCCTGGACAAGTCCCTGCAGTTTTTGGGCAAGGTTTTTCAGAAGTCGTTTGCCATTACCTCCTTCCTAGGGCTGAGAGAAAGTGACTGGCCCAAGGTCACCCAGCTGGCTTTGTGCCTAGATGGGACTAGAACTCACGGTCTCTAGCCTGATGTCTTAACCACTACACCAAACTGGCTCTCAAGAAATGTTATACCAACACAGAAAAGACATAAGGCAGTGTTTCTCAACCTTGGCCACTTGAAAATGGGTGGACTTCATGCTGGCTGGGGGATTCTGGGAGTTGAAGTCCACCCATCTTCAAGTGGCCAAGGTTGAGAAACACTGGCATAAGGAATAGCCAGCAAAATCAATTAATGATAGAAGAAAAAAGGAAAAGATATATAGCTAAATCTAATTTACACCAACACTGTTCACTATAATTCATAGTTTTCTATCTTTACAAACCATCCTTGCTTCCACCACCTCTAGATACCATTGTATATATTGCACAAGGAACTAATTATGATACTGTAAATAAAAATGTAGTAGGTATCTTACTCTACTTGAGAGAACTACGATCAGGTAAGCCGTGTCCCTACCTCCACAGTTGGCTTTATGAATTCAAGAGCTTCCTTGTTTTCCCTTCCTATGATCCTTTATCTTTAAATAGACTGAAACTTGGCAACCCTTCAAAATTCAAATTATAAAATAAGATATGCAGCCAGCGAGTTTGCAAAGGAGAGAACGGAAGACGTGAAAGCCTGGGGAGGGGGGGCGCGGGGAGAATTCTCAGCACTCGGTGTAAAGGCCTGGAAATGTCTGAAGTCAGAGGGCTTAAAAAAAAAGTGAGGGTGAGGATGTTGACATGGGAAGTGGCTATCCCAAAAGTCTGGTGGGCTTCTGACCATTCTGAGCCCCTCTTCTGCAGGCTCCTCCATCTCTTTGTGGCTCAAGGACTCCGCCCACTGGCCTACGCTGCAGCTGAGATGCTCCGAGATTGTGGACAGCTGGATGTCAAAGAACACCGGGGGAAGGTGAGTACAGTCTATGGATTGGCTGGAGGTCCTCTCCCTGCACAGGGAGGGCCAAGAGCACCTTGGGTGGTGGTTGCCAAAAAGAAGTCTCTTCCCACCACCTCTGTGGCTTGTCCTGCCTCATCGGATGCTCCATGCTATACCGGAATAAGAACGCATCCGCATCGGTCCTTCAAGAACCTGAGATTACAACTGAAAAAAAGCCACTTGGAAGCAGATGTGGGCACATGTTCCAGTCCCCACGCTGTGTGCAAAATTTAGAGTTGTGCATCTCCGTATTTCTTTTTTCTTACAACATTCACCGTTTTGAATGGTTTTGGATCTAGGATAGGTCATCCCTCCAAATGACGCTGTCCCTAGGGCTCCCTTCAAACTGTCAGCTGCCTTACCAACCGCCTGTTAAGACTGTGCCCTCAGTCAAATTCAGTTTCAATTCAATTATTTTTTTTCATTGTGCCCAGACTCCATTGTTAGTGGCGGCTGTAGCCAATCAGCCTAAGATCGTGAAGGACCTGATCTTGCTGGGAGCAGATGTCAATGCCATTGACCAAAAGGGGCAGACTGTGCTGCACCTTGGCGCCACCTACGGGCTGCCCAGTGTCATTGAGGTGAGTCTGGCATATCCTTCCCTCTAGAATAGCCTTGTGCAAAGTGGGCACAATACATCCTGAGCAGAAGAAAAAACCACCAGTCTCAATGCTCATAGCAAAGCATCAGAGAAGCCCTGAAGTGGGGTCAGTCTGCTAATCCACCTACTTTGCTTTGAGACGTGTAATTTGGGGACATGCATAGAAGGCCAGTGATGGGCCAGCAAAGGGGCTGTAGTAAATTGGCAGGGCTGTTCTAATCTGGTTAGTAAAAATACCACACTGTTTTACTTTGTATATCTGTTTTGATATGGTGATTGGGTTGAATCTCCTTCAAACTGAGTCACCCCATCAAAGCTTTGCAGAGCACTATCTACAGGACCTCCAGACATATTGGAGCTATAGTTCCTAGATAACCTGAGCCAGCATGGAAAATCTCAAGATTCAAACAAATCTCTTCCAAAACACACATCAGGTTTATTATTCCCCCCCCCCCCCCCGGCTT